CGCCTCTCTAGGATTTAGGCGCGCTCCTCTCTCCCTCCTAAACTCGCCCCTCCCACGGGCCAGTGCTTCTGCGCAGGCGCTGTAGGTAGGCGGTGGCCGCTGGCTTGGCGGGTTGGCGACTGCGCACTGGGGCCCCGCGTTTCCCTCCGAGGGCGGGGCGGGGTGCGGAGCGCGGGCAGGTAGCGCCGCGGAGGTGTGCGCGGGACGGAGGCGGCGGCCGGGTGGGCGGGCCTTCCGGCCGGGCTGGGGTGGGGCTGCAGCGTCCTTGTAAATCGGGTAACTTTGTATTTTCCCCCTTATGTGCCGCGCTAGGTGCATGACTTTGTGGTTACGCTCTCCTTTCCCTTCCTTTCTATCTCTAGAGGCTAAAGCCTCCCTCCTAAACGTTCACTAAAAACCCAGTGGCTCACGGCTGTCCTCCTGGCTGCTCAGGAGGCTGAGATGTGAGGATCGCGGTTCAAAGCCAGCCCGCGCAGGAGAACCGGGGGGCGGGGGGGACTTCTATCTCCAGTTAACCACCAAAGGCTGGAAGTGTAGGTGTGGCTCAGAGTGTAAAAGCACCAGCCTTGAGCTCGAAAGCCTGAGCGGGTTCAAGCCCCAAGATCCCCACGCACGCGCGCACACACACGCACACGCACGCACACACACTGCCCTGAGTATTTTTTGTACGGGAACGAATTCCCTGTTACTGTTATTAGTGACACTGCACGTGCCCCGCGTCGGCGTGGGAACGTTCTCTGCGCCCATCCTTTGCCTGCCACACCCACCCGTCCAGCCAGACATCGCGCCCCGCCTCCCCTAGGCCGGCTCTGGGGAGAACTGGCACACACACCGCCCTTTGTCGTCAGCCTCCGGAGAATGTTCGACTGCCAGTTGTGTTCAGTCTAGTTGGTGACACCTTGCGGGAGGCGGGGTGAATGAGTCCGAAGGGCTGGGTGGATCGGCCGTTATTTTTTAAATTTTCTTACACGTTGTTCACAGTAGAGATGTTTGCATTCGTTTTCATTTTTTAAAACGTTGCATCAGGGGCTGGAGGCGTGGCTTAAGCGGAAGAGCATCGAGCCAGCCCCCTGCAGGCCAGGGAGAGTGCGGTCCCAGCACTGGCCCACAGGACAAACCCTCCAAAACAACTCAATGTCGCATCGATCAGTGCATTACATTTTGCACTCACGGCACATGCTCTTATTCTAGCCTGGCGCTGGTTCTAAGTCCTAACGTTCCCAAAGCAGAAAAGGCTTGAATGACTCCTTATATGCAAATGAGAAAAAGGATGCCAGTAAGTGAAGGGACTGAAGAAAAAAAAAGTATGCTGTACTGAGGTACCTATCTCCATTCTTGGAGATAGGTTAAGGACTTGGATGCTCAGAAAAATTTCACCATCTTTGAACCATCATCTGAATGTTGAGCTGGCAATACAAAGACCTCTATAATCAGTAGAGAGAAGGCTAGAAAGTGTGGTAGAACTCACTAAAAAGAGATGAGTCGAGAGGTAAGAAGCCGGATCTTGTAGGATATTGCATGTAAAGTTTAGAGTTTTTCTGATAGTGCTTTGTAGTTGTAAGAATTTAACAAGATGCTTTGTTGAATGAGTTTATTAAAATCATACTAGGTTTCTTCTATGTGCTGTAAAAAAGTTAATATTAGCATTTAGTTCTCAAAATGACTTTAGGGTTAGGTTCATTTTATGGTGGTTGTATTAGAAGTTAATTGATTACTAGACTGACAGTCCTGCAGACCTGGAAGACTCCAGAGGAACACCTGATTGTGCTTAGAACCAAGAAGTCAAATTTCTCAGCTGGGGAGACTCAGAAGCCAGGCACTGGTGGCCAGGCCTATAATCCTAATTACTCAAGAAGCTGAGATCTGAGGGTTCCGGTCCCAAGCCAGCTCAAACAAATACAGGATTCTTTATCCCATAAATCATGAAGCTAAAATTGGAGGAGCAGTTCAAGTGGTAGGGTGTCAACATAGAGCAAAAAGCCAAGGGAGAGCTCAAGGTCCTGAGTTCAGGCTCCAATATCAACACCCACAGGCATGTAGTCTGTGCACTTGGCTGTTATGCCAGGGGCATGATACCTATTATCCTGTTTGACCTTAGAGATCATGTATATCACCTCTTTTATCTTCAGAGATAGAGATGAAAAATACTAAGGGGCAATTCTTTTCAACCTATAACTGAAATTATCTTATCTGGAATTCTTACTTTGTTGCAACTACCATAAACGTAATATGCATTAGCTCCTAAGTGGAACTGGTAACTATTATGGAGTTTTAAAATAACAATAGAGCTCTTACGTTTAAAAAAAAAACTCAGAAATTCAGCTATTTACACTTTTGTTATGGAGTACCTGAAATGTTCTACATGTGGTCAAGCACATATTTAGAGACAAGTTATGAGTCACAAGAAAGAGAGTAGATAAACTGGTCACTTGTAAGCTCTAGCCTCCAGCTTGAAAGACACTATGGACCTGCACAAGTGAAATGACAACATAAGCATCTAGCTCAAATGCACTCTGTGTACTATCATGAAAAAGGCTTATAAGGCAAAAGGAATTGGCGGCCGGTTCCAAATTCAAGAAATGTGAGAGAAACCCACCAAATCTGATCCATAACCTAGATCTTTGTGTGAAGCAGTTCTAACACATTTGAGGGAGGACTGGAGAAATTTGAATTACTGAATATTTAATTTTAGAACTAGGCTTAGGTGGCTCACATCTGTAATCCTAGCTACTCAGGAAGCTGAAATCTGAGGATCATGCATGGAAGCCAACAGGGCAGGAAAGCCCAGTCAAAAGGGGCTCAAGTGATAGAGTTCCAAACTTGATTGAAAAGCTAAGGTATAACACTCAGGCCCCAAGTTCAAGCCCCGATACTGTCACCAAAAAGAAAAAAAAGGTATTTTGGATTTACTGTGAATTTTGCTAAGTGACAAATGCCATTTACTGAAAGTGAAGTCTGAAATATTTAAGGGTGAAATGTTGACCTTTGCAATTTATTTCCAACACTAACCAAGTATGAAAACATATTACTGAAAGAGGCAGTGAGTATGCTGTTGCCAGTGAGATTTACTGCCTCTGAGCAACACTGGCCACCCACTGCACAGCCAGACCCTGGTCTTCATCCATTTGTGTTGCTGTAACCTAATACTGCATTGAGGTAAGTTATAAAGAACAGACACTCACTTCTCACAGGCCTGCAGACTTCAGAGTTCAAGACCAAGGTGCTGTCACCTGTTGTCTCAGTGCCCTCCTGCATTTTCATATAGCTGAATGCAAGCTAGCCAAAAGCTGCAACATTTTTTTTTCCAGTAGGTCGTGGGGCTTGAACTCTGGGCTTGGGCGCTGTCCCTGAGCTCTCTACTGCTTGAGCCACAGCACCACTTCTGGTTTCCTAGTGGTTTATTGGAGATAAGTCTCAAGGACTTTCCTGCCCAGGCTGGCTTTGAACTGTGATCCTCATTTCTCAGCCTGATTAGCTAGGATTACAGGCATGAACCTCTGGCGCCCGGCTTCGCTGCAACTCCTGTGTTGCTGGTCTTGGGGTTTGAACACAGGGCCTGGGTACTATCCCTGAATTTCCTTTGCTCAAGGCACTGTACATATGAGGCACCCACTTTCAGCTTTTTGGTGATTAATTAGATACACAAACTTTTCTGCCCAAGCTGGCTTTGAAATAAGATCCTCAGCTCTCACCTTCCCAAGTAGCTAGAATTACAGGCATGAGCCACAAGCACCTGGCTTAAAAAGATTCTTTTCTGAAGGCATTAACACCACTGACGAGGGTGAACTCTCATGACTTATTGTGGGACTCAGGGTCTTAATACTGCCACAATGGCCACACCTGGAGTTTGGAGCATGTGCATTCAAACCAGAGCAAGCTGTACATTTCTTTTTAGCCAGCCAGCACTATAGTAAACTGTTAGTCCAGGGCAATGGGAGGAACAGTGCAAGCAAGACTTCACTTCTATTCTGTGGCACAGCTACTGGGTCATCCTTAGGTACTGGTAACTTTCATCTACTTGGCCAGCCATGGGTACCCACATATTTGCTAACACATTTTTGTGTATTTCTGTATTTAAATAAGTGAATTCTGAGTAAAACAGTGCTTCATGTCAGTAGATTTCATCCAACCGGTTGAAGGTCCATGTGGTACCAAATAACAGCCTCCTCTCTAAGCAAGACATTAAGCAGACTGCCTTACGATTCTTCCTGGGTCTCTTAACATTCTTTTACACTGCAGATTTTGACTCATCGGTCTCAATAACAGGAGCTAATTGTTGCAGTAAATCTATACACACCCTATTCTGCTTCTATGGAGAACCTGATGCAGAAATTCAGTAAGGCTTACCATCCAAATTTTGCTCACACACTGATTGGGGGAGGGAGGGACTTGTTTTCTAGTCCTAAGGGACTACCTGCAAGACTCATTCACCAGCTGCACAGCAGCTCTGGCTCAGAAAAACCCAAGGCAAGCTCCATTATGAGGAAACAGGAGCCCACTTTCAAAAGTGTATGCTTTCACTGAATAATCTTTTCCAGTCCTACTAGGGTACTCTCCATTCTAGTATATCAACATTTACCTTTATACCTTTGTAATCATTAAGTCTATTAACAGTTAACTAATAACATGGTTTATCTCCTAAGACAATATTTTAAGTGTGGAATTTTTTCTCAGTCATGGGGCTTGAACTCTGGGCTTGGGCACTGTCCTGCGCTCTTCAGCTCAAGGCAAGCGCTCTACCATGTGAGCCACAGCGCCACTTCCAGTTTTCTAGTGGTTTATTGGAGATAAGACTCTCATGGACTTTCCTGCCCGAGCTGGCTTTGAACTGCAATCCTCAGATCTCAGCCTCCTGAGTAGCTAGGATTATAGGCGTGAGCCACGGCGCCCGGCTAAATGTGGAATTTTTTTTAAGTCAAGCCAAATTTTGTTCACACACCAAAAGCCTTACATAAAAATCATTTCCCCAAGATTTGTATATTTACACACAAACAACTAGCTACTAAAAATTTTTCCTCATTTTATGAAAAGCATGAGTACAAATCAACTTAAGTCTTTTTGGAAATGACTTCTACTAAAGATTCATAATCAGCATAGTCCTTCAGTGACTGTATGAGTTCATCCAGCAGACAGTCTCCTTGCATAAAACCTTCCAGATCATGCAGTGATTTGTTTATTCTATGATCTGTGACCCGGTTCTGTGGAAAATTGTATGTTCTTATTTTCTCTGATCTTCCTTTAGTTCCAACCTAGATATATAAGAAAAGACATGAGATGCAGTTAGATTCAGATATCTTAAGCTTACAAGTTTAGCTAACTTTGGTACGAGGTTTTTGATTTGCAATGACTCACAGTGCTAAAACCAAGTTTCAAACATACTGAGTCCCCAAATAACATAGGGTTCATATGATAAAGAAAAAAAAATGTGTTTTTTAAAATCACACAAGTTAATGTTTATATGCTTCTTCTCTGTGAATTCAATGCTCTGACTTTAGGTAACTTATTAACTCTAAACTTTAATTTTCATGTTTGTAAAATTCAAATACTACCTCCTACATAATGAGAGCTGGAAGACACGGTATGTTAGTAGATCATAAACATAATTTCTGTGAATGAATATAGACATCTTGAGGGTGACGAGGTGATAAATGATCCCATATTGAGAAAGTCCTATGAAGACTCTGTAAGGTATAAAATAGCAACTAGAAAATGACAGTAGTTTGCTTTCCAGCTTCCATAATTTCAAGAAGTAAAAGTAAATGGGTTTAGAAGCCACTCACACCTATAATCCTAGCTATTCAGGAGACTAAGATCTGATGATCTTGATTTGAAGCCAGTCTGGGTGAGATTCTTATCTCCAGAAAACTACCAAAAAAGCTGGAAGCAGCAGCGGCTCAAGTGGTATAGAGTGCTAGACTTGAGCAAAAGCAACTCAGGGATAGCACATAGGTCCTGAGTTGAAACCCCAGGACCAAAATAAAATGGGGATTCAGTGCATCTTTTTTTCAGTACTTTGACAAAGTCTGAGAAAAACTTCTTTGGATACAGAAAATCGGGTAAAGGTGTAAAATTATTACCCAGCAGGTATAGCCTGTATTTAAGCTACTTGTTTTCTTATTGGACCAATATATGGAAATAATTTTACATATAAAACACGAATTCAAGCCAGGTGCCAGTGGCTCACCTGCAATCCTAGAGACTTGGGATGCTGAAATCTGAGGATCACAGTTCAAAGCCAGCACAAGCAAGCAAGTCTGTTAGCCTCTTATCTCCAAATAACCACCAGAAAACTGGAAGTGGTACTGTGGTTCAATGTAGTAGTGTGCCAGCCTTGAGCAAAAGAGCTCAGAGACAGCACCCAGGCCTCAATTCAGACCCCAGTTCAAGCCTCATGACCAATAACAACAACAACAAAAAATAAACCTGAATTAATCTAGAACCATTTTATATTCTTCAAAGCATTAAGGTTCATTTTACCTGGACTTTCCTAGCACTGTATCTTTTACTTGTTTCTTCCTCCAGATACATGCTGTACAGCTTTGCACGCAGCTTTTTCATAGCTGTTTCTCTGTTTTTCAGTTGTGATCTCTCTTGCTGGCACTCAGAAACAATACCTGAATAGTGTTAGGAGTATGAAAGAATTTTATTTATTACCAAGGAATATTCCCTTCTCATCCTTTTTCTTCTACCTTCAAGTGAAGAGAAAAACAGGACTATATAACATATTTAAAGCTCTAACAATTTTGTAACCCTTACGAAACAACTCAACATTTAAGTCTGAGCTATAACACAAAGCATTTCATATATTAAAGGTAGATACTAGACAAAACATTTAGATTTAGTAGTTTGCCCATTTCCTCAGATAAAACAAAAAAAGCTACTGAGGAGAAATACATATGCATATACAGTATACACTAATAAACTGGCTGGAGGTATGGTTCAAGTAGTACAATCTGCTAGCAAGCATGCAACAAAGCCCTGAGAGTTCATACCCCAGGACTACCAATTAAAAATAAATAGCATATATATTAGCTCAAAATCCTACATGTAATACTTAATATTTTTGAGGATTTCTTTTGCCCCTGTTCCCTATCTGAAAACATTCACCCCTCTGCTATTTTTTTAAACAATTTGAGGTATGTCTTAATGCATCAGGGAACAACCAGTTTTTTTGAAATGTTTTAAGTGGTTGTAATATTTGCTTTTAGAGAGACATACTTTCAGGACAGGGAAAAGCTAGGCAGATGATAGGGATTTAAATATCAGGAGAAACCGTAGGTCTGACTGAGGTTCTTTATACTAAGTGAGCTGAGCAAGGTGAATGTAGGAATTTAAAATTTTTTTCTTTTCGAAATTTCTTGCATTAGTTTTTTTTTTTTTTGGTGATGCTTGGTCAAAACTGGCTTATAGTATGTGTTCTAGGTGGAAGTCCAACACTTCCATTTTCTCAAAGGAGACTATGTTGTCCAGTCCCCCAAGTGATTAAGACCAGTGATTTAGAGCACAGTCACTAATGTAGAAATCCACTTGAAGACCCCGCTTCTGTCTGGCTTTGCAGAGTATCAGCTAAAGAATCTAAATAAACCAAGTTATTGGCAATAGTCCTTCTAGTATATATTCCTTTGATAACAGGAATTTTCAAAGAAAATTAGTCAGATCCTTCAAAATTTTGTTTTTTCTCCAAAGGCTTAAATAGCAAAAGTACACACCTGTTGGAAGATGAAGTATCCGGACAGCACTGTCTGTAGTGTTTACATGTTGACCCCCAGCTCCACTGGCTCGTTTAGTGTCAATTCTCAAATCTTTTGGATTAATCACCAGATTAATCTATGAAGAAAAATTTGACTTAAAATTCTGTATATCATCTGTATTATTTCTGGGAACTACGGACTGCTCCTGGAAATAAGAATGCTACAATTCCTAAACCTTATGTTCCCTCACACAACTCCCCCCCAACTGTTGCTAGAAACATTAGATGATATATGACTCCAGTTTCCTCCTATTTCTTAAAAGCTCCAACTATCTCCAAGATGCTTCAAATCAAAGTGACTCCTGCCAACTACAACTACAACTGTTGTCTCCTACAACTGTTCTATTCCTTCTCTAGGCTTCTTAGACAAATCAGACCTAGAAAAAAAATTTCTTCAACCCTCTTACAGAACTCAAAATTAATAATAGAAAGCCTCAATCTTTCTTCTCAAAAAATTCATACTAATTCCTGAAAAACACAAGTTTCCTATCACACTTTTCATGAGAAGGAAAAGCATAACAAAAATTCACACAAAGCAAAGTCATTCTGAAGACAATCACAGCCTGTTCTATTTTACCTAGGAAGACGGTTTCACAATGTCTATGCAAGACTGGCTCATTTGTATATTTAAATTCTTACCATTTGTTGTAAAGTTACATGTTTTGTGCTAAGATACAATAAACTGTCAACAGCAATGCAAAATGTGAGAAATACCAAGATAAGAAAATTCAGTAAACTCTTGAGTGTGGCTGATTAAAGGTAACCATTTTGCTAAGTCCAGAATATTACCTCAGTAGGTTGGGGCAAGATTGCCACTGTCATGGTGCTAGTATGTACGCGGCCTTGCTTCTCGGTCTTTGGTACTCGCTGTACTCTGTGTACCCCTCCTTCATATTTCATGTGTTTATAGGCATCTGATCCCCCAATGCTGGCAGATGCATGTCGAAGGCCACCTTGAAAATACAGCGAAAATAGAATTCTTCTTAGTATTTCTATATATAAATTCTACATATAAATACCTGTCCATCACATCTACTATTTTGAAATAAATAGAAAAATTGAACCACAAAAGAATATAATCACAGAGAATGCAAACAATTAGCAAGTCTATCATGTTCAATGCTTTAATATGTAATCTTTACTGCTTTCAACTGCTAAACATGCATGTATGGTGCAAAACTGACATCAGTGACCTAGCAAAATGACTTCTTTAAACACCATTATTAGTCAATGATTATTACTGAATGCCTATCGTTTTTTGCAGCCTTTTCAATATATGTTGACATTCCAAGTTATTAGGTAAATAATGAACATAACACTCTTTTGACTTGCTGACAAATAAGTTCAAGTCAGGATCTTGCTAAGATACATGTGGATGAATTAAATTAATACTTTGCCAAAGCAAATTGACTGGTTTACTGACCTATTTCACTTGGAAAGTATTCCAGGATTTCAAAATGCCATCTTTTAAATGAAGCATATTGCTGATACATATCAAATATCTCTGAAGTAAACAACATTGCCTCCTGACCCCCAACTCCTGCAGTTACCTCCAGGATCAAATCATTTTCATCTGTTTCTTCTGAGGGAACCAAAAGTAAGATAATCTGTAAATTAAAAGAGTAATGCCCCTGCTATAATAAAGAATTATTTAAAATGTAATCTATGATAAATTTCTCTTAGCAATTCATTTAATGCTGTTTAATATTGTTCAACCATCTTACAACTAGAAATGCATAACTTCCACAAAATATTAACATTACAATGATATTATAAATGATATAAAATTCATCTAAAACTTGAAGGCTTATTTCTTCTTGAAGTTCTTATGTGCTTTTTATTAGTCCTCTATTCAGTGAATAGGAATTAAGTGCTTGTAAGTGAGGCATTATACCTTATGTAAAATGCAAAAGAAGATTCTAGCTCTATTCAAATTTAAGGCCTGGTAGGGCCTCAAATAAAAGCACTTAATCCGGGCACTGGTGGCTCAGGCCTGTAATCCTAGTTACTCAGGGAGCTGAGATCTGAGGATCACAGTTCAAAGCCAGCATGGGCAGGAAAGTCTGTGACTCTTACCTCCAATTAACCACCAGAAAACTGGAAGTGCAGCTGTGGCGCAAATGGTAGAGCACTTGCCTTGAGCTGAAGAGCTCAGGGACAGTTCTCAGGCCCAGAGTTCAAGCCACAAGACAAGAGCAAAAAACACAAAACAAAAAAAACCACTCAAGTTGCATTTGTGTTTCTTTAAGCTTTCTTATAAGGAAGAGAAAACTTGTAATATTTGAAGGCCAGAACTGGCTAACAGTACTGGACACAAAGATAAAGACATAATTACTGTGTGCTCTCGGCTCTATAACCTCTCTTCCCCAATTTTCCATCTCCTTAAAAACACAGGAGGAAAAAATGGGCCACTGTTTTATTGCCTTTCCAGGAAATGCTGATAATTTGAGACTTGTTTTATCCCTTTTACCATAATAAATAGGACCGCATGAAGTATGTCTTTTCCAGCATTAAGTATTTTGTTTGCAGTTAGTGGTAATAATATTATATTACAATGTATTGATATGTCAAGACACAACACTATATATCAGACATAATTGTTGAAAACTGCACCTCAATAGTTTAAAAATATTAAAAGTTTAAAAGTACCAAGTTTATTTTTTAAATACTAATTATTTCTTCAATTATTTTTACAAGCCTCTGAGAAAGTACATCAATAGTAATGGCATAAATTCTTAATTTCCACAAATACCATACCTGGTGCTTCAACTGACTTATTTCTTTTTGACACAAAGTGACTTCATTTTCTGCAAGTTTCCGTAAATCTTCATTCTCATCTAAGAGGTAGAATTACATTATCATAGCAATGCTGTATTGTCAACAGATTTAAGAGGTTTACTGCGGCAGATAAAGGGCACTTTATCTTTCAATAATGATCTAGGAGTACTTTATATATTAATTTTCGCAAGAATGTAACTGTAAAACTAAGAAAAAAAATCTGTGTAGATGAATATATAAAGAAGCTAAACTTTTCTAAAATTTCGCCCTTATGAAGGAATTCACCTAAAAAAAAAAAACTGAGTTTCCTACTTAGGCTCTACAAGAACAAATGAATGCATTTAGTTGTTTTTCGTGTCCCATCCAAAGGAAAGGTGGCTGCAAGAGAGTGAAGGTGGGGTTTGGAGGTCCAGGCGGCGATTTGGTGAAGCGAGCAAAGGAAACGCGGGAGGCCGCCGCGGTGCAGCAGGGCCCCGCCCCCTAACCGTGCAGCAGGTCCTCGGTCCCGCGCGGTTCCCGGGCCCGCCCCCCTCACCTCCGGCCCGGGCCTGACCGTGCAGCAGGGCCTCGGTCCCGCGCGGTTCCAGGGCCCGCTCCCATCACCTCCGGTCCCGGCCTCACCGCGCAGCAGGGCCTCGGTCCCGCGCGGTTCCCGGCCCCGCCCCCCTCACCTCCGGTCCGGGCCTGACCGTGCAGCAGGGTCTCTGTCCCGCGTGGTTCCCGGGCCCGCCCCGGCCCCCAGGGCCCGGCCTTACCGCGCAGCAGGGCCTCGGTCTCGCGCGGTTCCCGGCCCCGCCCCCCTCACCTCCGGTCCGGGCCTGACCGTGCAGCAGGGCCTCGGTCCCGCGCGGTTCCAGGGCCCGATCCCATCACCTCCGGTCCCGGCCTTACCGCGCAGCAGGGCCTCGGTCCCGCGCGGTTCTCGGCCCCAGGCCCGGCCTGACCGTGCAGCAGGGCCTCGGTCCCGCGGGGTTCCCGGCCCCAGGCCCGGCCTGACCGCGCAGCAGGGCCTCGGCCTCGCGCGGTTCCCGGGCCCGCCCCGGTCCCCAGGGCCAGGCCTGACCGCGCAGCAGGGCCTCGGTCCCGCGCGGTTCCCGGGCCCGCCCCCATCACCTCCGGTCCCGGCCTGACAGGGCCGCGGCCTCGCGCGGTTCCCGGGCCCGCCCCGGCCCCCAGGGCCCGGCCTTACCGCGCAGCAGGGCCTCGGTCTCCCGCAGCTCCCGCTCCTTCTCTCTCAGAAGCCGGGCCGCAGCCACCAACTCGGGGCCCCGGCCCTGTAACTGGGCCTCTGGGCGATCCAGTAAGGTCCTCAAGGGCCCGCCGCGGGCGAACAGCTCCTCCAGGGGCGGACCACCGAGGCTGAGGGCCCGGGGGCCCGGGCCGGGCGCCAGGCGGGCGCGCAGACACCGGACGGCGCTCCGCAGAAGCCCGCAGCGCATCCCCAGACCCAGCGCCCGGCGGCCCCAGAGCCGGAAGTGCCCGACGGGAACAGCCTCAAGTCTCGCGACAGTGCAGGAGTACGAGGTACAGGGTGAGAGCTCCGCCCCGCCCAGAGTCTAACTCCTCCCCCCGCCCTTGAAAGGACCAACCGGAAGCATTGGTGAAAACTTCCGGAAAAGCGTGGGAAAGATGCCGAAGGTCCTGGACCAAAAGTGGAGGGGCGGGGTGGAGAGAATGGATGGGGCGGGCCCGGGGCGGGCCCAGGCGCCTGGCACGGCTGTCGGCCCAGGTGAGTATTGCTGGCCTGTGGGGACTCGGGCTGGCCGGGGAAAGCAGCAGATTGCTGTTCTACCGGCGGGATCTGTTCCCTGATGCCACTGGGTGGTAACCGCCAAGGACGCGCACTGCAGGGGCAGAGGTCACCGCCACCAAGTCCTCTGCTCTCAGTAGTCTCAAGAGAGAATATTTGGGGTGTTTACTACTCTTCCTTTTTCTTGATCAAACATGCCTATTCATAATGGAGTTTGAACTCACATCCTCCGCATACTAGACAGGTGCTCCTACCACTTTAGCCTCCAGTACTTTTTTGCTTTATTTTTCAGATAGTCTCTGCCATATTTTGCCTTTACCTCCCTCCTCCCTCAAATGACACCTGTGGATAGGTGCTGAGAATACTGAAACTTATTATTGATACCATGTTTTCACAATTTTTAAAGGACTTGTTCACAGTCCGCCAGGGAAATGGATATGAGGGGGTAAGCACAGCCAATGTATTCCTGGAGATGCAAGGGTATCAGTCTTGGAATTCCTACCGCCTGATTTGGACAGCTCTATTAGGTGGTGCTTCGCTGTTCAATGTTCAGAAGAATGTTGTGCTGAAAGACCTTCTAATTTGCTCTTTGTATAAAACAATCGTGGTAAAAGTGGAAAATCTTAAAAGTGAAAATATTCTTCAGTCATCTAACAAACTAACAAGCATAAAATTCTACACAATTGAATTTCCTTTGTTGCTATTAGTGCTACTGTATATACAATTGTAAGATGAATTGGAAAAATGATATACCTCGAGTAATAAAAAAGTAGTTTTGCTACTTATTTACTTCAACTAATTACCTCTATATTTCCTTAGTTTGTACATTTCTGTGTTCAAGTTCACAGAACTTCATAAAATGCTTTGTTGTACAATAAGGTTGGAACCTATCTTAATTTTTAAATTTTATCTGAGTATCAGGACTCCCAAGTTGCTTATATCTCTATGAACAATTTTGATTCCCTAACTCTAAACTCATATGTCATGTTTTTTTTAGCCAAAGAAATAAATGGTGAAAGGGGTGGTAGGGGAAAAACAAAGGAGGAAGTAACAATGCTCTATAGGAATGTACTCATTACCTTACTCATGAAACTGTAACCCCTTTGTACAGTATCTTTACAATAAAAATATGTACTGAAATATATAAATGGTGAGTAATTTGAATTCAGCATGTTTCCCTCAGTTGAATTCTCAAAATGGAAGTTATTTCAATAATATATTTTATTATTTATAAGGGGTGCAAAATTGTAATCAATACTTATAGAGAAATGTAAAGAATCCATTTGGAATTTTATTTTCCTTCAGTGCACAAACAATTTAAACGTGTGAATGTCTGTTTTATCCCTACAGTGTTACTCCAATGAGGAAGCAATAACTGTTCTAAGGATACATTCGATTCTTTTATTAATTCAAAACATTTTAAGAAAGTTAATGTAATGCATATGCATTTTACAATGATATCCATAGGTTTCCATAATGTAGTTAAATGAAAACAGCTGTTGACTTATTAAAAATTCAAAATATAGAGACTTCTGAATTTTCTTATATCATTGTCATGCCCAAATTCTATTACATGGTGAAAATTCTAGCATTTTTCAGGAAGTCTATTAATGTACATAGATAAAATGATAAAAATAGGTTCAAGAAAAGGGGAATAAAAACCCATAAAAATTTAAATTAGAGGAAAAACAACTTGAATTTTCTATTCAATTGTTAAATACCTACAGTTAATTTGGCATCACAAAATTACCAAGCATGGTCTTTGTAAGTTTATTCATGCATTCAAAACTTCTGTATAGTCCAGTAAGAAATACTGGTTGAACCCAAAATACAGATTAGTAAATATAATGAACATGGTAGTAAGAAAATATGCATGTTCAATACAATAAATTTTACAGAATTAAATGCATTGAAATTCATTTTAGTATCTTAAAATCACATACAGGACATTGTATTTATGGCAACAACTAGGCTAAAGCCAGGGAAGAAATATCAAGTTATTTTTTAAACATTACTTCAATACTGTGTACATTGTTCAGTGGAGCACATATAGAAAAGTAGTAAAATGATTATAAATATCATACAATAAGAAAGATGGAGATCTTTAATACTCAAAGTGTGGTAAAGGTAGATAGTCTGAAGTTAAAACAATATCTTTCATCTCTATTAAGTGAACATTCAACTCCTTTGGAATTGTATCCTATATCACTTTCCAGTTCATTGTATTTTCTTCGTAGCACACCTTAGGGATCTTTTTTTTTCTTTTTCTTTTTGTGGGTCATGGAGCCTGAACTCTGTGCCTGGGAACTGTCTCTCAGCTCTTCAGCTCAAGGTTGTCACTCTACCACTTGAGCCACAGTGCCACTTCCAGCCTTTTCTGCTTATGTGGTACTGAGGAATCGAACCCAGGGCCTCATGGCATGTAAGGCAAACACTCTACTACTCTACTACTGATCCACCTTCCCAGCCCCCTTAGGGATCCATAGAACCTATTAACTTATAGCAGAAAAGTCTACTTGGCAATACATCAAGCACCTCCATGGACATAAACAGCTAGAGAACCTGAAATTTTAGAAATTCTCATGATAATCACCATACTAGTGGCTTGTACCTTTGATGTCATCTGATAGGGATAGCACTATTCCTTCCCACATCCAAAACCTCCCATTCATGAGAAAAACAACTGGTCCCAACAGAATGATATTCTGAGAAATATCAGACCAGAACTCCTCAAAATTGTCAAGGTAGTCAGAACAGGGAAAGATTTGAGAAACTCACAATTTAAAGGAGCCTAGAGACATGACAACTAAATGTACTATGGAACTGAATGGGATTCGGGGACGAGTCGTAAGTTAAAACTAAGGAAATCTGAATATAGACTTAACGAATCAACATTGGTTTATTTCTTGTGTCCCAAGTAAGTGAAAAAAATTAATGAGGGCTGAGAAGGTGGCTCAGTGGTAGAGCGCTTGCCTTGCATGCTCAAGGCCCTGGGTTCGATTCCTCAGCACCACATAAGCAAAAAGAAAAAAGCCAGAAGTGGCGCTGTGGCTCAAGTGGTAGAGCGCTAGCCTTGAGCTGAAGAGCTGAGGGACAGCACTCAGGCCCAGAGTTCAACTCCACTACTGACCAAAAAATAAATAAAAGCATAAAAATTAATGAAAAATTTATGAACACATAACCACTTTCATTAATTTTTCTTTTCACAAATTCATGGTAAAATAGTTAAAAGAAAATCATATTCCTATTAAAAAGGAAGTCTTCTAATGCTTAGTCTCTAATTAACTTACTTTTAGCCATTTATAAATTTAAGTTACTTGATTTTATATTATTTCTATCATGGGGAACATTTTTTACTTCTATTATATTTATATCTAAAATTGTACATATATTTGAAAGGAACATTTCTAGACTAGAAAAAATAATGTTTCTAGATTTGGTGGGATGCTAATGAACTGAACACAGTGATTTGAATATTAAAACCACTGATGTAACTTCACCTTAAAATAAGCTTGGTTGTAGTTTATGTAAGAATAATAAAATATTTAAGTATATTTCTTTTTTTGTTGTTGTTGTTGGTCATGGGGCCTGAACTCTGGGCCTGGGCACTGTCCCTCAGCTCTCCAGCTCAAAGATAGAGCTTTACTACATGAGCCACGGCACCACTTCCAGCTTTTTCCGCTTATTTGATGCTGAGGAATCAAACCCAGGTCCTCATGCATACAAGGAAAACACTCTATCACTGAGCCACCTTCCTAGCCCTTTTAAGTATATTTCTAAAAAACAGAAATGGTACCTACATTTTTGAAGGTGTTCTTGAAAAGTGAAGATTATTACTGAGCTGTCATACCTCTATAAATTATATGTAACATCCTCTCAATTAATATTCTTCATTTAGATATAAAGAAACAGATTTAGAGAGGACAAATGATGTACCTACCCCCCATCATGAGAGAAAGAAATATTACTGGAAATCACGCTTATTGTTCTAAGTCCCTGGTGTTCCTCTACTATATTCCCAGGTGAATCTTGTGTCCAGACAGTTCTGTTAGTAAGGACTGCATGTGCAATCATTTTAATACAGCCAGTGCTGTGAGAACAGGTGTAAATCAACAGACTTAAAGTGATAAAACTTAAATACAATAAAAATGAGATTAAGATGTGATGAAGAAAAAGTGAACTTCAAGTTGTACATATAGTATATTACAAACATGAACCATTGGTGTTTAAGATCATTCCTTTAGTCATTTTAGAACTTTTTTTCCTTGTGTTTTTTTTTAAATTTTTTGTTGGCCAGAGGCTTGAACTCAGAACCTGGGCCCAGTCCCTGAGCATTTTTGCTCAAGACTAGAGCTCTACCACTTAGAGCCATGGCTCTACTTTTGGATTTCTGGTGGCTCATTGGATAGGAGTCTCATGTACTTGGTACTTTCCAGCCTGAGCTAGCTTGCAGCTACAATCCTCAGATCTCAGCCTCTTGAGTAACTAGGAGTACAGGCATGAACCACCAGCACCTGGCCATCTTAGAGCTTTTGTTAAAGCAATCAAGTTAATCTGCAGACTGATTGGTAAGCTCCTAGGGCAACACTGTTGTCTTCCATATTGTTTCCTCTGCAGACAAGATCTAGAATATCCTCATTAACCAATGTGAAATGATATCGTCTTCAGTTGGAAAGATTATACCTGAAACAGTAATAGCTTTTTATAATATTAACGAAGAAATCAAAGCCTGGAATTTGGAAATGATACTTATAACTGATGTATTGTATGTTTTGCAAAGATGATCTGAAGCAAGTTTTTTGGTATCAGCTTTATTGAGTTATACTTGCAATTGTAGCAAATGAAAAATTACTAAAGGTTTACAGATTGTATACTGTTTTCTTGGGATAACATTGTATGTTCAGAAGTTTAAAAACTGAAAAAGACTTAAATATACATGTTTGCAAAATATAATTTGAAAATTAAAGTTGAAAACTGTCCATGTAAATAGAAGGACAAATTTTTTTGAAATATCTTCACCATATTTCAAACTGGGTTGTCAGTGTATCAAGTTCAAAGTATTCAAAGTTCTTATTTGCTAAGGTTCATTGTATAGGCATTCTGGATGGGTTTAAGAAATTTAAAAATTTTAAGGTTCTTATTTTCCTAGCTTCTGATTGTGTTTTGAATTCCTTCCCTTTACATATGTTTGACAAAGCACCTAGTATTTTGTATTTCTTGCAAATGTAACTTGTCACAATGACAGTAAAACTTTTTTCATCATTTATAGGTTCATATAAAAATGAATAAACTCAAAACTGAGAATGAGGTATTACTGTAAATCAGCTCAATGGGATGAAATATGTATTTACTCCCAAACAAATAAACATTTTCCTATTTATACATTTCTTTTACAAAACATCTATCAGATAAATATACGATACATATTTTATACTACACACCATTGAAGGATACTAATAAATACCCCATGCACCATGGCCAGCTATCAGCACTGGTTATGTGCGTGAGACAATGTCTTCACTATTGCATTTCATAACTTCACTAGCAAACTTCTATTTTGTTCTATTCATAAGTTCTGTAACACTGTCAGAGAACCTATTCTAACTTCAGATACCATAATAATAATGAGCCAGAATAAAGAAAAGTCATCCATCCATCATCACTGAGATATATGTATGTAATCAATCTCTGAAGAAATCTAAGTTTCCAATTTACATAAATATACACAATCTCTATACTCTTCATTTCTTTCCATGATACATACCCCTGCAGTGGGATACTACAAAAAGTGCATTAACCTCTTTCTATTCCCAGCAGCAGATTCTAACAGTATAGAAAGTTATTTTGGCAATGTAAAACACAAAGTGCTCCTTTTAAAGTGCTAAGATTTCCAGAGAGAGGAATCAACTCACCAAGAGAAAATCAAACTCTAATAAAGCAAATATTGTACTCTGGGAAATGGTAGCATAGACACCAATGGAGGTCTTTTTTGTTTGTTTATTATAGTTCTGTAACTTAAACAGAAGAAATTATACCATACCTAGTTGCAAGTACACAGAGATATTTTCGGAAACTTGATACATTTTGAAATTAAATGAGAAATACCCCCCCGCCCCCACGTGTCAGTTTAGCACAGAAATGCTCATGTGCATGATCGCCAACATGTGGTGTGCAAATCTGCTCTGAATTCCTTCTTAACTCCATAATCAAGACGCATGAACCTCAAATCTCAATTCTACAACTTCCAAGGACAGAGGCTGGGTTGCTCTATGAGGGCCCCTTTACATTTGGTAAATTATTAAACCTGTTGTCAAACAGACAATTCCTCTAATAGTCCAAAGTATCTTATAAAGATAGCTTATGACTACCAGGTCACCATCATATATAGTAACAGCAAGAGGATGATAAAGTCTACAATGAAAGAGATAGATGCATGCAGTATCAGAGTATATTACATATCTTCTAGTCGTGTGCACCCGTTGACTGTGCCTCAACAAGTATGATACTATACCAATATAATAAGCATATGTATCACAGTAGCGTCATGAACGCAATCCTAAATTGTCAAGAAAAACATTTAAATGATTTAGGAACAATAGAACTTCACAATAGAAGCAATGACTTTTTTTAGGTTTTTCATTACTCTTTAGGAAAAATATGACTTTTTGTAAACATCTTTGTAGCTATTTTTTCAATGTATTACTGAAAACTACTATTCAAAAATGTCTAAGTGACATGGATAAAATATGTTTTAACATACACTTCAGGAAATAAAACAGACAACTGTTAGAAGAAATTATTATAAATATTTGCTATCTTGCATTTTAACTACATGTTCATAAATAATGTCTTTAAAAGTGCTGGGTACGCCAGGATAGTCAGCAACGCCAGTGTAAACAGAACATTTGTTTTTGTTTTTTTTTACTTTGCAAATCATTTTAAAATCCCATTTTGTCCAACACTGCAACAGTGAAAAGATTTGCATAGGGAATAGATAATAGCCCTTTTAACCATGCCTCCTGAATTCGATATAGATTACAAAAACAAACTCACTTAACAAAAACAAGTCTTGAAATGTTATAAGTGTATGGAAAAAAAGAAGCATACAATGTCAACTTTTCAAGTAAAAGAAATTTAAAAAGAAAATCTCAAACTTGTCATTTTTAAAAATGTTTAATAAATTAAAAAATGAGAGGTAGTTAAAAAATGACAAAGAAAACCTATAGTTCTAATATCATCCTGAATATAAGGCCAGTGTTCTTAATGGATAGAAATCTTTTTTAAAACTTTCATTTTTAGATTATCAGTATTATACTCATTCATTTTTAGATTAAAAAAATAGTCTCCAGGGACATTAATATTCAAATGTTACATCTCAATATAAATATGACACTGATTATATCATTTTTGTGCACGATAGGATTATCGTTTTCTTGAATGTCAGAAGTGCATGCCCGTGCCAGGCAAGTTTTCTATCTTAGAGATTTAGTGTAATTATAGGAAAAAAAAATCATATGGCATCTAAAACATTTGAGTACTGTACTGCCTTCTAATTACAAATGAGGAATAGCAGTTCAGTTTTGAAAGCTTGAAAATAATTCATTCTGAAGATACTATGTGAAAATAGTTAAGGTCTGAAGTAAAGAGTTATCTTTTTCATAACTTTCTAATAAAACCTTCCATTAGTAAAAAAACAGCTTTCCACTGGATTTCACTTTCGAAGAAAATATGCCATGGAGAGATACTATTCACCAAAATGTTTTACAGTGCTACATGTAGGCATTACTTTATTAAATCATTTTTATCTCCCAAAACTAAGCTGTCACGCTCATTTTTTCCCTTACTGAAGTACATAACTTTACATAGCTGTTTTAGAACTCCAGTCTTTAATAAATTACAGTATTGGACATCTGATATGCACATAGATCATTTTCTTCTATTAAAATTAAAAACACTCACTCTGATTTGTCATTGAAATAAGGTATCTTCAAATTATTTTGTGCTTTTTCTTTTCTTCTTATTATTAACTTTTTATTTTTATTTTTATTTTTTAGCATAGCAAACTCTTCTGTCCTGGAAACGCCATCATTTTGGCAGTGAACCACCAGAGAAATCTCCATCAGGATTTCCCAATGAACAGAGATAAACAGCTCTTTTTTTTCCATTTACAGAAATATTGGCTTCAAAATGAGTATACTGAACACAATATATATATATATATATATAGCATGTTAAAATACCATTGTTGACATTTAAAAATTGCCTTTTTTTCTCTTCAGATTATGTTAAAAAATACAAACCACAGCCAATATTTTTTGGCAAGTATTTCTAAAGACAATATTGCACAAAAGTCCTTAAATACAGATATAAGTTACGCTATTGGATTAAATAGTGCGTCAACTACGCAGCAAATGAAGCAGTTTTTACTTTGCACATGCAGTCTTTGGAGAAACACTGGGAGATGGTGGACTACAGATACGGCTTGCTTGCAAGGAGAATGAGTTCTGAATAAAGCAAACAATTTGGCAATTCATTGGTTCATGTGGTGTTCTCGCCAAACTTAATCACAGTTAACTTTGATATAAATGGAGACAAGGACAATAATGGTTGTATTTTCACAGTAGCCTGAGGATGCCAACCTGTAGTTTTCCAGGAACTCAACTTCTGACAGTACCGAAATACTTTTTATTTCCCATCCTAGCCCTCTGTAATGATTTTTATTTTTAATGAAAATTAAGATTCAGAAGAAGAGCCGGCAGTACTTTCAACAAATGACTTATAAATCTGAGAGTTCAAAAACCTTGGGAAAGAATCTCTGTGCATTAGGGTATAGATCTGCAGCTGGGCATCTTCATACATGTGTGGGTTAGGATCCAGCAGATTCCTATTGATCACCTCTCGAACTCGAGAATCCAGGCTGACCTAAAAACATAAATAAGGGCAGAGACATAAATACATACTGTTTTAAAAAGAGCTCAATTAAGTAACTGTAGTTTTTGACTTCTGGGGGGGGGGTCTTCAATGAGGAAGTCTTAACTACCTGGAATCTTAAGGCTAAATGTTCAAAGACTAAATAGTCTTGCATAGTTCACTTCCTTTAGACTGAATGCGATAGATAAAACGGAGCTAGGTTTTTAAAAATGGAATATATCGACTTACTCGGATTTATCTTTTCTATGCATTTATTGAGGAGGTTTCAAGCATTTCCCTTCATCATTGAGGACAGACAACAATCGCAGTGCCTCCTTTTCTGGAACTGCTGGAGTGGCTCCCATGACATTCCATGACCAGTCTAATCAGAAAAGAATTCTCCAACAAATTAACATCACTACCCAATGCTGACCCTATTGAGATGCTCCACAGTTTCATTTCCCAGTGGGGCTCACTGTCCAAAGTAGCAAAGCAGGAATGTGGAAGGTCATGGCAAAGCAGAAACATACCAGGTCTTCTCTACCTGGAAAGACCTAGGAACCGTCCTTCCATGGAGCATGGCTCCAGAGATGTCTTTATTAAACATGAGCCAGGCAAGTGCTTGAGATAGAAGCCACAGATGAGAATGGAAGTGGACGTAGCATGCAGAATACCCATTAAAATGGGAATTCTGAAGATGTACAGAAGTTAAACTCTTTAGTTACTGAGTACCTCCCATGAAATTGCTAACAGATTTTGTAGAAGTAGGGCATGGTGGAAAGGGAAGTGGGAATAAATAGCAATAAGGTTTGGGAGGGGGGAGGGGAACAGAACTCAAACGCTGCCCTGACATAAATGTTGTGATGAACTTGGTTTGATCTTTAGCACTGAGGGAGGGGAAAAAAAGCAAAAAGAAAAAAAAAACCTCTTTGTAAGAATCAAAACAATAATTCAGAACCCAATTTATTTCTACTCTCACTATTAAATAACATTGGGATTTATAATTATGTCAATACATAGATACCCTTTCCTTCCTTCCTCCCTCTTCCCCTCTCCCTCTCCCTCTCCCTCTCTCTTTCCCTCCCCCCTCTCTCTTTCTCTTTCTTTGTCCTGGAGCTTGAACTCAGGGCCTGAACACTGTCCTTAGCTTTTTTGGCTCAAGGCTAGCATTCTACCACTTGAGCCACAGCACCACTTCCGGCTTTTTCTGTGTATGTGGTATCGAAGAATTGAACCCAGGGCTTTATGCATGCTAGGGGTAAGCACTCTACCACATTCCCAGCCCATCAGACACCATTCCTATCTGTAAATAAACATTATCACAAGCATTTTGCAAAGTGCCTCTATCCATGGTCTGGACTGACTGTGATGTGACCCAGTCTCTGAAAGATGGTTCCCTGGTTCCCTGCAGTGTCCTGGATGTCTGAGCTGTACAGTTCATACAGACTCGAACTGGTGGATGAGATTTGTCAGGAAATTGAAAGATCCAGACTACATTTCTGCAGCTCAGCCAGACTAAAAGTTCAACATTTCATGGCTAAACTATATATTCTTCTTTGTTGGGAACTTTTAAAAAAGATTTTTTAAAAATGTTCTACAAATGGTTATCTTAGTTTTTATTTTCCGTGCTTTTATTTTATCGAAAAGTAACTTTTTCATATGCTTCTACTTAAGAAAATACTGACACTGCTGTTTAAACTGGTTCTTCTTATTCTTAAATCTCATGGTACAGTAGGGTGACAAGCTTACCAAACACATTCACTCCCCTTTTTACAAAAATAGTGCTTTTACTTTGAAACTTGAGAGAACTTTTTGTCTCAGTGGAGAAGAAAACTTCAGGTGTAATCAGGCAGGGTGGGCCACTCACCTCTTAAAGAATAGCCTAACTAAATTCAGTGTAGTGGTTTCTTGCTAGTAACTGCAATCATACTATGTGAAGATGACTAAAATAACTTAGACTATTCTATCTAGAGTCTTAGCTTTTTGGTTTTTGTGTTTTTTACAAATGAACAGTAGTAAAATATTAGAGAAAGGATTAAAGTTCAATCTTTAGTAATCTAACAATAAAACATTGGTTAAATGGGAAAGCTAAAGTATTTAATATCTGGTTGGTTGTTTCAAAAGAAGGTTAGAAAGGCCAAGTGACAAAAACTAACCCCCTGGGTAGATCATCCATAGTTTCATCTTGTGGCATCTTTTGCTTCAGGCTGCTTCAAGGTAGTGAGGCAAGCTCCCAGCATGCACTAGAGCCGTCATCACCATTAGACTCAGGTATGTGTGCTTAGGCTAGAAAGCTCTTATCAAGGTTTACCAAGTAAGGAAAGGAGCACTTTCTCTTCCTTAGGGCAGAGAACTTATCTGAAGGGAAGAGAATGTTGAGTGTGTGTGTGTGTGTGTGTGTGTGTGTGTGTGTGTGTGTGTGTGTGTGAACTCAGGAACTGGGTGCTGTCCCTGAATTTCTTTTTGTTCCAGGCTACCATACGACTACTTGAACCATAGCTCTATTTCTGGATTTTTTTTTTTTTGGTAGTTAAAGGTAAGAGTCTCACAGATTTTCCTGCCCAGGCTGGCTTTGAACCTCGATCTTCAGATTTCAGCCTCCTGAGTAGCTAGGATTACAGGCATGAGCCACTGGCACCTGGCTGGAAAATTCTCCTTTTACTTGATCTCCATAGATTTACATCTAGATAGAATGGGCAAGGGAAGGTTACAATTTAGCAACAGTAGCACTTACAATTTCTACCACAGTTGGACAGCGCGCAAGATGCTCCGATGGATTTGGCAGAATTCAACGGGCAGTACTAGCACTGCTGAAAACTTTGGCATTATGGAAAGCTTACAATTGGTCATCGGAAGACAGTTGGTCATCGGAAGACAGAAATGACCAGACAGGCCTCAGTGGAGTTGGAATCCTTCATTCCCCACAGGAAGCAGGAGACAGGAAAGAGTAATATACAGTACCTTGCAGTCATAATGAAAATACCTCCCCCAGGAATTCCACAAATGACTTGGGCGGAAAATGCAATAGGGGCTTAGGTGTAGCAAGAGTGTGGAGGAAAAGGAGAGAAGGAAGATAGAACTCTCACTAGTGTGTCCATCAGAGACCATGGTTCATCTTAGGAGGTTATTAAGATAGCTACTTCCTGTAGAAAGGGAACACTCAATTTTGCCCCTGCTTTTGTTCTGGCTGTCAGGATACAATGGAAGTTTTTATCTTTTATCTGGTGGAAAAATTATATTGAGAATGTTTTACTGGAAAAGGTTATTTTATCCCCACAGAAGACCTTCCCTGACGTAAAGCTCCTGAAATAAATATATATATATTTACATATCATGAATACATTTTTATCTTATTTTAAATTGAACTGAAATTGCTTTATGTGGTACAATTTTCCCTGGAAAATTCTGATTTTTTTCCTTCAAAAGTGCATATCAAATGTTATCAATTATAACTTCTATGAAAGGAAATTTTCTTGCTGGATGCTGATGGCTCAGACCTATAATCTAGCTGCTCAGGAGGCTGAGATCTAAGGATCATGGTTTGAAGCTCCATCAGAGGAAGTAAGTCCATGAGATATATCTTCAATAAACCCCCAAAACCAGAAGTGGGGACTGAAGCTTATGTGGCAGAGTTCTAGCCTTGAGCAAAAAGTTCAAGGACAGCACCCAATCCATTAGTTCAAGACCCAGTACCAATGCCACAAAAAGTCCATTTTCTTTTCTATTCTTAGCTTTAACTAAATTTTGTATCTCCACATTAAATTTTATAGAAATAAAGATATAGGGGAGGGGGGACCAAGATGGCGACGGGGCAGTAGGGAAACGCCACAGCTCTCTCCAACCAAAAAGAGAGTTCGAGTTCCAACACTTAATCTCCCCAAGAGACCGACAACAACAAAAAGACGAACACTCAGAGAAAAACCAGAGGTGGAAAATAACAAAAAAAGAAAGAGAGGAAAAGAAGAATTTCAGAACAGAGAAGAGCGAAGACCCCTCCCCCAACCTTTACTGGCCGTGCGGCAGAGCGCCAAGCCGCCGGCCGGGGGTGGGGGGGGCTGCCGGAGCCCCAGAGACACAGGGGGCCGCTCGCAGATACCAGGTACTGGTTCGCAGAACAGCGGATCGCCAGGAACAGAGAAACCTACTAGCCGGGATTCTCCACGAGGATCCCACCCCTACCCCTCACTCTCCACCGGAGCAGAGAGGCTCCATCCCGCCATAGCCGCCCGGCACCAGCAGCGAGACAAAGGAACCTGTCGGCAGACCACCCACCAGATTGCGATCGCAACGACCCGGCGGGGGCCACCCAACCCAGCCCGCAACCACCCCAACTGAACTCGGATTGCAACAACAACTGAC